GGGAATCAGCATACTTTTTCTTTAAAAAGCCAGACAGCAAATATTTTAGGCTTACGGTGCAATGACTTTGATGCAATGACCTAACTCTGCCATTGAGGTGTAAAGGCAGCCAAAGACAACCAAAGGGAACATGTAAATACATGGGCATGGCTATGTCCAATAAAGTTATTAACAATAACAGGCATCCAGCCTGCCAGCCATAGTTTACCAAACCCTGCTCTAGTTAGTAAATATATTTTTATCAGTGATACAGGTTAGAAATTGTGAAATTACTTAATGTGTATTCTGAGATTGAGGAAGTAAGAAAATAGATTCAGGATGAGAGCCAGAATCTATCTGAAAAGGGAGCACAAATGGAATGGAAAGAAATTTATGTGCATGTATACATACACATACATACACACATACATAATAAAATAGCAACAAATGAGAAATTTGGTTGAAAGTATACAAAAGAGTTAATTGTAGAACTTAAAACTTTTTCTTCTGAAATAACTGTAGACTTACAGAAAAGTTTAAAAGAATTTAAAAATAGCTTACTGCTGTATATTTTCTTGGATACCACTAAGTGGTTTCTGGATGTTTTCACACTTTTCCTCCAAAGCACAGAATCTCTCTGTCCAGAGATTGATTAACTGGCAAAGTTCCTATAAGAAAGGTATGGGAAGGGGAAGAGACTTAAAATTATGACACTTGAACATTTTTTCTATATATGACTGATGATAAGAAGTATTCTCTATAGGTGAAATTACACAAATTCTTGACAAGAGATCTTTAATTCCATCTCTCTCCCACAGAGGAAAGTAGTGGAAGTGATATCAAAAGGATAATATAGGGATTTTTTTTACAACAATACATGATGGAGGCATATAGGGATTTTTTAAAAAGTAAATAATTAGCAAATATTTCCATTTTAACTATTAGTAACAAATTACTTTCAGTGTACCTCAGAAGTAATTAAACAAACCCAGATTCATATTATGTTTAAGAACTTTAACAGATATGTTGATTTTTGACTGGTAACACTAATAGAAGGGAAAATTAATGCTGATAACCTAATGGGTCAAGTAATCCAAAAGAATTATTGATTACTGGAGCTGAATGATTTTACAGCACCTAGCTGGATCATATTAATAAAATGTAAATAGAGTCTTATCTTTGCTCATATTTGACATCTTTAAAAACAAGCTCTTATAGGCACACAACATGCTACATTGCAAAATGAAGAAGCTGCGCTAAAGACCAAGGAAGAGCTGAAAATGTATCTAGCATTCTTGTTTACTGATCAATCTGTTGGTTGGCCAATATCTCTGAATAACACATCAGCTGACAATAAATGTCTAACATTCTGATTATGAATAAAGGCTGTCAGTATTTTTACTAGTTTCAAAGTACGGGGTAATGTAGGTATTATCAGATTTATCTACATGTCAGTAAGTGTTCAAGTTTTACATAATTGTTTTATTAGTGTTCATTTCAAGATTTAGAAAGCCTAAGAAATAGCTCACTTAATGAACTTGCTTCCTTATAGCCAGGAAGTCATTAGATACTTTTCAGATCAGGTTTTTTGTTTTGATTTCTTAATCAGTTGTCTACCAATTTTAAGCATTTCAAAACAGCTTATTTATAAAAAGCAGATCAGCCTTAGAATATATACCTAAAAAGTTCTCGACAGGTTTAAGGCAAATATCCCATGCACAGGTGTGAGAAACTGCTGCAATTTCAAATTGCCAAGAAACATACAGAACAACTCAAAATGGATGCATTTCAGGCAATATCATCACCACCTACAGGATGATGTAAATACTATTCGATGCTCATAAGGTCTGTTTCCTCTCTAGAAAACTGAGCTAGTAATAGAATAGATAGATAGATAGATATATTGGCAGGAGGAATAAACACATAGTAAGTTGCTCAATAAATATTAACCATTATTTTTACTATTTTTGATGTTAATCCTGTTTCCTGCTTATCAACCAGAATATTAACAATCTTATTTTAAAGTTGCTTTAACTCTTACCTATAGGTCTTAGATGTGTTTTCTTCTCTCCTTTTGAGTGACATGGATATGAATTCCTTCCCTATCATTTTCCAAAGAAAAAGAACTCTACTCCTAAGTCATGTCAACAGTTTTATTGACCAAAGGGTTCTGCCATATCATAATAGGCTCATTTAATAAAACTTTAGATGTTCATTACTAAAATTTTAAGAATACCAAAAGTTGTTTTCCATATACCTAATATTTATAGATTATGGTTTAGAGGTTTGCTTTGGCTTAAAATTTCATATATTAAGGATGATAACTCATGAATTACATTTATAACCAGTCGATAAAAATTATTTTAATTTACTACACTTTGAATGTCATCAATGAGACAGACGTAGTAAGAAAAAGCAGGTCTTGGTTTATGAAACGTAATAACTATGTCACCCTAGAAAGAAACAACTTATCAAGTTACAATGTAGCTACATGTTCACTTTAAATGTTATAACCATTTTCCTCTAAGGGTATGTTTCTCCAGATTCACCTTTCACCTTGATGTGAGGAAAGGACTGTTTTGTTTATCATGCAGTCCTTCAGCATAGGGTTCTACATGTAGCAAATCCTTAAATATTAACTGATCAAAAGAAGTCTTCTCAATTATTTTATATTAATAACTGTTATAAGCAATACTGGTTATGGTATTTTCAGGTTTCAATTAGTTTTACAACATTCAGCTTGTAACACAGATTATTAAAGTCATATCAAGTCATCATAAAACTTTCTTTTATACTCTCCAAGTCAGCTAAACAAGATACCTGTGAATGAGTTTGCTTTATTGTCTTCAGGTCTTCAGTTAAGTTTCTACATTGTTTCTGTGATTCCACCAAGGAAGAAATTGTATTTTCTTGTAGTTCATGTAGATTATTACAAAGTATACTGAGAAAGCCATCTAATTCCTTTTTCTGATCTTCTACCTTGGAAGAAAAAAGGAAAATTAGTTTCCTTCTTAAAGAACATCAATTTTGAGATATTAAGAACATAACATTTTTTACCTTATCAGCCACAGTCAATGAGGTCTTGAAAATATGCTTTAGTTGAGTATTGATTTTCAATATAGATGCCACAGTGGGGGCTAAAATCATTTCCAGTGAACCAAGAAGGTCAGTCTTAAGTACATTCTGGTTTTAAAAAAAAAAACAAATAGATCATTAAAAAGAATATTTTCACTTCCATAAACCTGGCTGGTTAAATGGTAATATCTTAAATACTTTGGTAACTATACATGCACATTAAAATTCTAAGTTTCCATTCTCTATCCTTTATAGCCCACAGAGATAAATCTGTATATCTAGAGTTTATATTCAGAATAAGTCCCTTAGTCCTGCCTCTAATAATTAAGAAAATGGTCACTTAATGTACAATAATTTCTTAACTGTCTAATGAAACAGAAGTCAGAAGAATTCAGAAGAGTGAAAAATGACAGTTAATTGATAAGATTTCAGTATTCCAAACTCTGGGTAAAATGCTATCAAACAGCATCACACACTACTTCCATGAAAGAAAGAGCAATCAATGCAGCAAAGTCCACTGTTGTCTCCTTTTAAGAAATTGCCACAGCCACTCTGATTGGTGAGCAGCCATGAACACTGAGGCAAGACCCTCCACCAGCAAAAATATTATGATTTGCTCACGGCTTAGATGAGCATTTGCATTTTTTACTAATAAAGTATTTTTTAATTAAGGTATATATATTGTTTAAGACATAATGCTATTGTACCCTTAAATAGACTGCAGTGTAGTATAAACTTTTATATGCAGTGAGAAACCAAAAAATTTGTGGCTCACTTTATTGCAATTTTTACTTTATTGTGGTGGTCTGAAACTGAACCTGCAACGTCTCTAAGGTAAAGCCTGTGTATACAGACCACCGTTTAGTGAATGAAATCAATTTTTGAAAAGTTAGTACTGACAGAATATCTTTTAACTTAGTCAAATTTGGGTGATTAAAAAAACTTATCGAATAATGTCATATAAGCACTGAATCAAGGCAGGGGGTCAGCTAACATTTGTAGTATTAACTTGGAAAATGTTTAATAAATATTGTTAAACCCAAAAAAGGAGACAGCGAGCCAGTGCAAATAAAAATAAGTGATATGGCCTAGACAAACCATACAATTACAAAATAAAGAATATATATAAAACAGGTATGAAGGAAGTAATATTAAGTGTAATTAGATGAGTGACTTCCATACAACTGTGGAAAAAAGCTTTACAGTTAAGGCCCAGATGGGCATGGCCACATAGATCTAACCCCAAGAACTGTTATGTTCCTAGAATTCTGAAAGTTATTTTTCTTGCATCACCATTATATATTACTATCATATATTACTGTAGTTTTAAAATTAAGTACCCAATATCCCCTTTTGGTTGGGCCCAGGACCCTTGCAGATAGGATGACTTATCAATTTCTAGGCCACCTAACAAGTCATGGGTCCCCTAAAATCACGTGGTGCTAAACCTGCCCTTTAGTCATTAGAAGGCTCACTAATGACACCTACTTCCAATGTTATAAGATATGAGTGAAAAAAGTTTCAAATGTTAATTATATACATTTGGAAATCAATCTTTCTGGGAGAAAAAAACAGAAATTTGTCTTTATATAAATATATTCTCTCATAGTGATATGTCTATCACTGTCTAGCAAAGCTTAAGATGAAAGAATGGCAGTTAACATTGTTTTTGAAGATTTATCAAATGTAATTCTTCAAAAATATTTTAAGAGATGTACTAACAATCAATTCTTGCAGTACGGTTTTACTTTCTGCTGCTAGTGATTGTTCTTTTAATATCATATTCAAAATCTGAGAAACAAGAGTAGACACATTTTCTGGAATAGATGTGAGAGATCCAAGTGCTGTTGTAGTAATGGTGTCTAATGCAGAGACACTGGAAGACAGCAGATTACCTATAACAACAAAAAAAAAAAGAGGTAAACTTTGACATAAATATATTTAAATACAGTTTGAACCATTTTGAAGAGGTTGGCAAAATTATATCCTTGTGGAATTTGTAATAACAAATAAGCTTAAAAGAATTGGTTCACTACATAAGAAAGGAAATATTTTAAATATACATTATATATGTTCTATAGTGTTCTGTAAGACCTTGACATATTTATAAGTGTATCAGACCCATAACTATAACTGCTAGTAAACCAAGAATTAGAATATTCTAAAATTAATCTCTGACTAAAAATAATATACAGTATTATGGTAGGAAAAAAGTTCATAGAAGAAAAGAGAAATTAGAAATCAATACCAAAATTTATAGTGATTGGCTTAGTGTGACTAGAGCCTTGGTGATTTTTTTATTTTTACATTTCAGGATCTCTAAATTTCTATATGGAGGATAGTATTTCATGAGGATAGTATTTCATAATAAATAAACTAATACTGAAGAGTTTTCTTCTATAGGGAGATAAAAATGGAATGGTTAAAAATAATGATACATACACATATTCTGACAATATAACAAACCTTCAAGATATATATTCCCAAAAGAAAGAAAAGTTATAGAATGTTTTTGCACAGAAAACATCTGAAAAGAGACCCAGGAAATTTAACAGTAATACCTATGGGGAATAAACAAGGATCAGGGATAAAGAGGACTTTTATAAATATATTCTTATTTAATAAATGTAACATTTTATAGAAAACAGGGGAGAAAAACTCTAAGATTTGTTGTAATTCAAAGACAGTAAAAGCATTAATCTCTAATCTAAACATATAGCATGTGCATTGGGGAGGGTATTAGTGGCACTATCACCTGAGTTCACAAAATTAAATTATCAGTTTTGAAATCAGCCTCACACTAAATACATAAACACTAGAATATAAAAGCTTTAACTTACCAAACAAGGTCTTGTGAACTTCTAGCATGGCCTTTTGTTTTGAGCTGCCATCCTTAATTAATTCTTCCATATTACTAAACAGACTATTTAGGTTTCTACCAAAAACATCCTGAGCTTCTGCATTGTGTTGGTCAATTGCCTTCTTACGATCCAGTTTGCAATGGAGACCAGATACATCTTTTGTAGTTTCTTCAACTGTGCTAAGCAGCTATATGATATTTTAAAAAATAAACATTAAGATAGATTATGACAAAAGCAATCTAATGAAAATATCTGTGCTATTAATACATAAGGATTTCTCCTGACAAGAACTAGTAAGTTTTAAACATTGTATCAGAAGACATGCTAATTTATCCAGATGCCCAGGAATGTTTATTTCCCCTCCACTAGCCATCTATGTAAGCAAGGAAAAGCGATTTTGCCAATTTATTGCAATAATTATGCTTCCTCAAAAATTTTTCTCCTATTATGTTCTATTGCTTTCTCAAAAGTACACCTAATAAGAAATTAAAGATTTTCAACATCTTCCATCATTAGAAGGTACTGAATTCTTAATGATTAATTAGGTTCAATCATCACCACAAAGAAAAAGCATCACATCATCATTATTCTAAAAAATCCACAAAATACATTATGAAGTCATGTTCTATTTTCAAAACTTCAGGAGTAGTTTTTCCTTAAGTCAGAATCTCCAGGAAGAAAAATATGGATGAAATAGTAAAATAATGTTTTTTAAATTGACAGAAATATCATTTGGGGTGAATAAATAGAATCTCACAATTAACGCTTACGCACAGAAAGTTACTTCTACCCATTTTCTAATTTCTTTAATGAGAGTACAAATCAAAACAAAGGACAAACCTTGCTAGCAGCATCATGAAGTTTCTCTTCGGTAGTTTCCAAAGCTGATGTGAAATATTCTTCTTTAACAAGTTGTAATTTAGTTTCTTGCAAATGTTTTTGAGTGGTTTCAAGTTCCTCTGTCTTATTTTGCAGGTCACATTTACACTGGTCAAGTTCATTTTTTTTATCCATAAACAACTCTGTAACCTAAATATATTAAACATTTCTTAAGAATTAAAAATTGCTGATCTGGTTGTTGAGATACCTGGCTAGCCCATAATATAACATCAGAAGAATAAAACAAACTACTTCCATATAAAAGTTATAACAAATAAGTTACCAACTAGGTTAGCACATTTTATATGGCACCTGGCTTCTTCCTTCAAAATTTCGAGAATAAATAACTGGTCTGGTACAGTGATATCAATTCTTCAGGTTCCCTCCAACATTGTCAATGGATTTGAATATAAAGGTGATAATGTGAGGGAAGCAGCAAAGGGTCAGGTCTTATGCCTAACTTAGTTATTACTTTTATTTAATATCCAGTCTCTCCCAACATCTGTATCCCTTCATCTGATAACTATGTCAACAAAAATGCCTTAGCCTTCACCATTTTGTAGCTTTACAACAAAATCACAGAACTCAGTTAATTTCTTGTAATGTTGCATTAATATTGGCATTTTTATTATCATTGATGATGGTAAAATTATGATACAACTTACTTTCAGTATAAGGATCAGCAAAAAAAATCTTAAAGAAGGAAAATATATCAGGTCCTTCACATTCTAAAAGTTTCTTTTAATGTTTGTTTTTTGCATAACATTGAATGTTGTCTTGAATGCTTACCCTACTTAGCTCCTCCTCAATGGCACCAATTTTTTCAATCAATTCTACAATCTGTTCTTCTTGAACAGTTAATTTTCCACTCATGGCTCTAAAATAAAGTTTAATATAAGTTTAACAGTTTTTTTCCTAACTCTTATAAAATTTATTCTATTAATAACACAATTATAGCAGTTACACAAACTCATCTTCACCATTCATCACCATCATAATAATGATGCCTAAGTGTCGATAATCAATAAATACAAATTGCAAAGAACAAATGTATTTCTTGTCTTTGTGTTATATTTTTCCTTTGACTTCCATTCTGAAACTAATAAATCCTATATATGAGGGAAAAAGCATATGTGTATCAAATTTGAGAAGCCAGAAAGCTAGCTAACAGGGGACTGTAACTCAAAGTAGAGATGGAGGGAATACAACCTAAGTGTCTGTAATCAGGGATATGGAAGTATGCCCCACAGAATGCTGGAAAAACTTGGGATTTGAAGGCATCAAGTATCATAGGAGAAAGGGGTAAGATAAGGGGCTAAAAACTGGAGGACTAAATTAAACTATGTATACAGAGTAATTATATCCTCAACCCCTGCACACACACCAACACATATACCACTATCGCACCACCACCACATAAGATCAAGGGATTATTCTCTAGAGCAGAGTTTCTCAGCCTCAGCACTAATGACATTTTAAACCAAAATTTCTTTGTTGTGGGGATGTCCTGTGCATTTCAGGATCTTTAGAAGCATCCCAGTCATGACAATCAAAAATTGTCTCTGACACTGCCAAATGTCCTCTGGGGGGCAAAACTACCCACCACCCCCGCCACCCCCAATCCTCCCAACCCCATTGAGAGCCACTAGTCTACAGGAACTGCAGTGGAACTTCCAGCTACACTTTCACTAGACACAGTGGAGAGTGAGATTAAGGTTTAGGGGCTACAAACAGGCATTTTAAGTATAAATCTACATACTGAATGGTGGGAATACTCAGTCCCCCATGCCCACTCTAATCCAAGAACATCAGCAGCCAGAATAATCTCTAAGTGGAAAACTGGGCAAGTCTTCTCTGGAAAGACTGAAAGGTCTTATCCAAAAGAAAAAATCCAACAAAGAATGACATTTGATGGAAGTCCACACTTAACACTGAGGTTACCACTTTTTCACCCTATAGTGAAGTCACAGGTCCACAAGCCTCACCCAGGTACAAAGTTTCTAATCCATTCGCACTGCCAGCCAAAAATCACTAGACATTTGAAGAAAATAAACACAAATAACAGATATCACAATGAACAGGGGGAGAAAAGGGATCCCAAAGGAAAGACAGAAAAAAAAAATACTTCAATAATATTAATAATTTTTCAGAGATAAAGAATACACTGTATTTATAAAAGAACAGGATACTAGATTGTTTTTAAAAAGGAGGGGCAAGTAGGATGGAGAACAAGAATTTTTAAAAACTAAAAATTTGACAGCAGAAATAAAATGCAACAGAAATATTAGAAGATAAAGTCAAAGACAAAGAAGTTGTAAAAAGTAGGATCAAGTCAGATCAAGTCATGCTTTTGTCAAGCACAAAGCTCACAAGCCTTCTAGACCCACTTTACTGGGTCTCTCTGATTTCTTCAGAAGTGAATGCTTTTCCTTTTGTTTGTCTAGTTCCTTCAACACTACCAACAATTTTCTATTCCATGTTATGCTTACATTACAAAGAATCTTCTGTAAATGCAAATTCCCTCAACATATTACTAGAGATATTATCCATTAAAGGAAAAGCTGGAACAAAGGTGTAAGAGGAGAGTTAATTCTAACAGTCTTTTGATTAAATATTTTAGCTCTTTATTAGAACTAGGTCTTTTATGTAAAATGGGATATTTGAAATTTTTTTCTTATATTGAATACTATTGTATGGATGAGATGGTTTTCATACATTAATAGCTTAAAAATGCCTATTAAGCATGGGGTAAATAAATAAAGCATTACCCTGTTTTAAATGTTGGCTGTAGCCTTTGTGGCCCTTCTCTGACTTAAAGAGTGTAATAATTCCAAGAGGTTTTTCAGAAAGAACTTTGTTTCAGATAATGCCTCATGTCTACTAGAGCACACTGTCTTTTCAATCATGAGATTCACAAACGAAAGCTAAAGTTCTTTCTTAAGCTAAAAAACATCAAAAAGATGAAAGCCAATAAACTTTATCATTTCTAAAGATTACAGCCAGGACTGAGTGCCTTGTCAACTATTTTTTATTCTTAAAGCACCAACAAAACCTTCTTCAGTCATGGTAAACTGTTACCTAGCCTACAATTTTATATTGTTTCTTATTCTAGGGCATCTTAAGCATTCATAGATAAACTTTGAGTATTTTGTAAAGCCCATAAAATTATTTCCAAAAAGCAAAACAACACCTCAAAGAGATAGCGAAGATAAGAAAATCAGACAGTCCACAAAGTCCAATATTTGACTGCTAATAGGAACTCGAGGAGCAGAACTACTTGTAGAAGACATTCATTGGTTGCCTACTAAGCACCCATTTCCAGCATCCAGATTTCCCTTGGGAAATGACCATCTCCCCCCAGCTGTGCTGACCAGGCTGTTCGGGTGGGCCTGACCCCATTCCCAGATCCAGGGACAAAGCCTGACTTGCTCAAGACAATCAGGTAAATCTCAACTCCCTTGGCAGTTATTCATATATGGACAATTCAGACCTAAACTCATCAATAAGTGATGTTCACCTTCTCATCCACACTGGACATGAATAAGATAGCATGTAGCTGCTATGCTGCTGGCCACAATCCCTGATGAAAAGCTAGCCCTAGGAGAAAGCCACCAATCAGGACAGCAGTGGGAAGAGACAGAAACCGGACTGTTGAACTACTAGATCAAATAACCTTGAAGTTCACTCTCTCTGGACTTTCACAATTAATGAACCAATAAATCCCCTTGCTGTTTTAACACAGTTTAAGTTGAGTTTTCTAGAAACCAAGAACATTCTGATACCAAACTTAAAATGTTTTTTCCCTTTTATTTTTAGTTGACATGTAATAATTGTACATATTCAGGGGATAAAGAGTATTATTTCCATACATGTATACAATGTATAATAATCAAATCAGGGTAATTAGCACATCTATCACCTCAAACATTTATCATTTGTTTATGAACATTCAAAATCCTCTCATCTAGCTTTTTAATAATATACAATAAATTATGGCTAACCATATTCACCCTATGGTGCTGTGGAAAAGCAGAACTCATTCCTATCTAGCTATAATTTTCAAACTTAAAAATACAAAAAGTGAAAAAAAATACAAAAAGTGTTTATCAAATAAAAATAAAAGTATAAAAAATATAAAAGTGGTAGAAATAAGGACACTGGTAAAATGAAACAATTGAAAAATATAATGAAACACTGCAGTGTTTCCTACGAAGAAGTATATCTGAAAACCACAGAGAAATAGAAAAAAAAAGAAAAGAATAAACATATCAAGTTTATGAATTAAGTGCAAATTTGCACAGTAATTTTATGTAAAAAATGTTTTGCCAATGCTGGGCGCAGTGGCTCACACCTGTAATCCTAGCACTCTGGGAGGCCGAGGCGGGCAGATTGTTTGAGCTCAGGAGTTCGAGACCAGCCTGAGCAAAAGCAAGACCCGGTCTCTACCAAAAATAGAAAGAAATTAATTGGACAGCTAAAAATATATAGAAAAAAAAAAAATTAGCCGGGCATGGTGGCACATGCCTGTAGTCCCAGCTACTCGGGAGGCTGAGGCAGTAGGATCGCTTGAGCCCAGGAGTGTGAGGTTGCTGTGAGCTAGGCTGACGCCAAGGCACTCACTCTAGCCCGGGCAACACAGTGAGGCTCTTGTCTCAAAAAAAAAAAAAAAAAAAATGTTTTGCCAACTGGATCTGGCAAAGAAAGAACTAAACAAATGTCACATAGAAAGAATAAAAGAATAAGTATTTAATAACCTGTGATACTCATACAATATAAATTTGAGCATTTGTAAAGTTAGCATATGAACCAGCAGAATATAGCACTCCATGACAACTGGAAATTACATGGAAAAAAACGAGTTTATTAAATGATTTATGTACTATTAGAGTGATTATGTAATGTTAACATCTATCAAAAAGTTCGGTGAAAGATTACACTAAAACGCTTCTGATTATTAATTAGATCTAAATATCTTTTATCATTAATTTTTAAAAAAATGTTCTGTGAAAGTCATCCTCCCTAATATCTTCAAGGATAAATACAAACAGGAATTTTCAAGTTATAATCCTTAGCATCTGACTTGCCTTTTTCCCCTGTTTTCTCAGTTGTTATTGTTTTTACATAATGGGCTTCAACAGAAGCTTTCCTTTTGACAAACTACTCCAGGGCTTTAAGAAATGAACAGAGTAGTGGTTGCCAGGGGGTAGGAATCACTGGGGGAGGAGAAGTGAGTGTGATTATCGAGGATTATTGAGAGAGCTTCTTGTGATGAAAGGATAGTTCTGCATCTTGATTGCAGTGGTGGTTATGCAAATCTACACATGTGATAAAACAGCATAGAACTATACACTCATATTGTACCAATGTCAATTTCCCAGCTTTGATACTATATTATAGTTACATAAGAGGTAACCATTGGGAAAAACTGGGTAAAGAATACATGAGACCTTTCTACACTCTTGCAACTTCATGTGAATCTATAATTATTTAAAAATTATAAGTTAATAAAATATTTTCTGAAAAGTGTTTGATAACTTGTTAATGTCAAAACAAAACAAAAAAAAAACACTTATAGGCACTGGATACAAAGATTTTACTTGAAGTATTATCTCAGGTAGATTTAAAAAAAAGAAAAAATATTTTGCTTACTGCTACATAAGTAAATTTTCCTTCAAACGGCCTGGTAATCAGAAAATGCTTATTCTTGGAAATTAACTCCATAGCAAGGACTTACCTAAAATTTTCTTCAGAAATATATACTCCATTTTTCTCACGAGCTGCAGCAAGATCTCGTTTCAGGCGCTCTATCTCTTCCGTATACTCCTACACAAGAGGAATGTTGTAGGTGTCAATTTAGTACTTTTTTTTTCGTTCAGTTTGGGGAGGATACGCAACAAATAAAGCATAAAGTTAGTCTTTTTATGTTTTCTGAAACTCAGAAAAGTATAATAAAAAGTTATAACCATACTTTTTATTTTTTAATCAATGTTAATTTGCTTAGAAATAAAGTCTCGAAGGCTTTAAAAGCTCCTTTAAATGCGCTTATTTTGAAAATATGGGCTTCTCAAGAAAAATCACAACCACCATACCAAGGGTGGTAGCATTTTACACTAAAAGGAACAAGGATTTCTTAGAGAAGGGTCTGATTCTACGACTAGGGCAGGAAGTATTTAGGATGAACCTGGGACATTTTGTCAAACAAGACAGGAAGAAAGCTAATAAAGCCTACCAGGCTAGTGAAAAGGACTCAAGAACCCACTTGAAGAGGTATCCATTGGTCAAAGATAAGACAATTTGAGCATCAGTGTAGATAATAATTACAATGGATTAAACAAATATTTTAAATCCATGAGGTTATAATGACACTAAAAAAGCTAGGAAACCAACTCATTACTCTCAAAATTGGCAAATAAAGGAAACTAATCAAGCATGTGCCCTGCCTTTCCTATTCTTAAGAACTATACCCCTGGATGGATGAGAGAAAGTTCCTTTTTATAGAGGTACAGGCCGATCATCCCTAATCTAAAAATCTGAAATCCAAAATGTTCCAAAAATCCAAAACTTTTTGAGCACCAACGTGACACCACAAGTGGAAAATTCCACATGTGATGGGTCACAGTCAAAATACAGTCAAAACTTTGTTTCGTGCATAAAATTTAAGCTATTGTATTAAATTACCTTCGGACTATGTGTATAAGGTGTTTATGAAACATAAATGAATTTTGTGTTTAGATGTGGGACCCATTCCCAAGATATCGCATTTTATATACTGTGTTATGCAAATATCTGAAAATCTGAAAAAAACCTAAAATTCAAAACACTTCTAGTCCGAAGCATTTCGGATAAGGGATACTCAACCTGTAGTTCGGCAATTAAGAATGACTGAATTTAAATATTACCATTTGCAACCTTAAAAATACCAATCGATTAAGTCACTTAACATCATCAATTGCTCACAAAAGACAATGAACAAGACACAATGTGCTTCCTACTGGAAGAACACACCACCTCTTATGAATTAGTCTTTCTCAAAATAAATAAGATAAAACCCAAATTTAACAAAGCCTCAGGGAGCCAGGCACGGTGGCTCACGTCTGTAATCCTAGCACTCTGGGAGGCCGAGGCGGGAGGATC